TGTTTGTGTGTATCTCTTATGTCCTATCCCTCTAGACTCCTCTACTTCTACCTGCTACCTTGCCCTATTACTTAACCTACCTCTCCCTCCAAGGATCCCTTCCTTATATTCCCATTCCCATTAATCTAAACACCCTTCTGTAAGCTACTTTAACCTATTCCCTTACATTCCCCTCTAAAGATACCTCCCTTATCTTCTCCCCCCTCCCTATTCCCTTAGCATTTTATTTCCTTCTGAATTTAGAAGACTTTTATGTTCTTCTAGATATATATATATATATTGTTCCCTCTTGAACCCACTTCCAGCAGCCCTCCTCCCCCATGTAATTCCTCAGTATTGGTTATTCCTTTCACACCTCCTTGTATAAGATAATTACTCTTTTTAGCTGTTCCTAAATGGTTTTAATTTTTAAAGTCATATCATACTCAGGTCTACCCCAGTTTTTCTTATGCACTACCCAATTACTCGTAACAATCTTAGACATATGTCTGACATTTTGAATACATAAAAGATAAACAGTCTGTCCTTATTGAGTCCTTTGTAATTAATCTTTGGTATGTACCTTATATTTCTCTTGGCTCTTGTATGTCAATCTATTAAGTTCAAGTTTTTTTTAAACAAAGTCCTAAAAGTCTGACAATTCATTAAATTTCCATTTTTTTTTCATTCAAGATTATGCTTATCTTTTCTGGGAATGCTATTTTTGATTGGAAGCTCAGTTCTTTTGTTCTTTGATATATAGTGTTCCAAGACCTGTGGTCTTTTAGTGTTGCTGCTGCTAATTCTTGTGTGATTCTGATTGTGGCACCACCACATTTTTTTTCTTATTACTCATAATATTTTATCCTTGAACAGGGGGTTTTGGAATTTGACTATAATATTCCTGTGGGTTTTTCTTATAGGATCTCTTTTAGGTGGTGATTGGCGGGTTTTTTCCATTTCTACTTTCCTCTCTTATTCTAAAGCTTCAGAACAATTACTGCATCAAGATTCTTTTTCTGATCATAGCTTTTAGGTAGTCTGATTATGCTTATATTTTCTCTTCTTGATCTGTTCTCTAGATCTGTTGTTTTCTTATGAGATGTTTCATATTCTTTTCTATTATTTCATTTTTTATGTTTTGTTTTGTTATTTCTTGATCTCTTATAACTTCACTATTTTCCCCTTGCCCAATTCTGACTTTCAAGGAGTTGTTTTCTTCCTTAAGATTCTGGATTTTCTTTTCTAATTGGTTGACTTTCTTTTCATAATTTCTTGTTTTTCTTGGATTTTTTTCCAATTTTTCCTCAATTTATCTCATTTGATTTTTAAAGTCTTTTTTGTTCTTCTATGACTTCTTTTTGGGCAGGTGACCATTTGACATTACTCTTTGGGGTAGAAGAAGGTTTCTTGGCTTCAGTATCCTCCTCTGAAGATGAACTCTGGTCTTCTCTATACCCACAGTAACTCTCTATGGTTGGATTTTTTCTTTTTTGCCTGTGCATTTCTGTGTGTGTGTGTGATTGCTTAGTACAGTCATTCTGAGCCAATGAGGGCCCAAATAGTGACTAAGTAGGGCTTGCTCTGGGACCACAGTGATTTAAGGTTAAATCTGGTCTTTAAGAGGAAAAAAAGTTTCTTTTTTCTCTCTCCACATAGGATATCACACCCTCAGTGCTAGAGAGGGTCAAAGAACAAATCATAGAATAATACATCATCTCAGAAAATGACAATGAGACAACATAACAAAACTTTTGGAATGCAGCCAAATCAGAGAGTTGATGACCTTTCAGATGCAGAAAGAACTATATTATTTTTTGGATATAGCCAAGGGGTTGATTTATTGTGCTTGACCAAGATTATTTGTCATAAAGGAGAATTTTTAAAAATCGTGGGGGGGGGGTCTTGAGAACTGAGGTGAGAAAAAGAGGGACTAGTGATAGTAATAAGATGATAGTGATGCAAACTAATTAGCTGTTGTCATCAAAGCCTATTGTCTGTCTTTGTGCAAGGAAATTACAAGGGGTATCAAAGAACACAAGTATTGCTAAATATATCAATCTGACCTTAGAAGGTGGTGATGTGAAACAGAAAAGAACAAAAGGAAAACCAAAACTGAAAATACCTTGGTTTGATATCAGAAAACTCTAAGAAGAATTTCATCAGGCAGTCATGCCCAAGATAGGCAGTAGAGTGATAAAGCAAAGTGGTTTGCAGATTTCTTTGATAGGTACTCAGGTTTGGTGGCTATTCCCATCTCAGCTCCTCATAAGGAGTCCTAACTAGTAGAGTACAGGTGTGGTATGTCAGTGATTCAAGTCAGTTGAGAAATTGTCCTAAGCTGACTCCACAGGGCACCCTTTTTTCTCCTCTAAAGGTAATTTTAAACAAAAGTAGGATAGTTTGCAATAAAAGAGACTGAGAAGCCTACACTTTAATACTACCCCTTTCTGGAAGATTTTATCTGTTGTTTGTGGTCCAAAGGCTATTCAGAAGAAGTTGTGGTTTAAACTAGCCTGGCCCAAGGCCACAACTACAATCCTTTGCTTACTGCCAAAATACTACATGCGCGATCAGCTCGTTGCAATTTCTCATGCCCATCCTAGTTCAGATTTCCATTATCTGCCACCTGGACAACTGCAATAGCCTTTCTTTTTTATCCTTTCTTTTTTCAAAATTTTATTTTCAGTTCCAAGTTCTCTCCCTCCCTTTACTCCTTCCCTCATCCACTGAGAAAGGAAAAAAGAAGATATCCATCATACATACAAAGTCATATAAAACTTACTTCCACATTAGTCACACTGTGGGGGAGAAAAAGCAACAAAAATAAAGAAAAAAATATGCTTCAATCTGTACTCAGAGTTCATCAGTTCTCTATCTGGAGATGGATAGCATTTTTCATTATAAGTTCTTTGGAATGGAAATGGATCACTGTATTGATCAGAGAGGCCAAGTCTTTCATAGCTTATTTTTACAATGTTGCTATTACTGTGTACACTATTCTCATGGTTTTGCTCAATTCACTTTACATTAGTTCATAAGTCTTCCCAGATTCTTTTGAAAACACCCCTTCATCATTTCTTATGATACAATATTCCATTACAACCATATACTGTACCATGATTTGTTCATCTTTCCCTCAAATGATGGGCATCCCCTCGGTTTCCAATTCTTTGACACCACAAAATGAGCTGCTATCAATATTTTTTGTGCAAACAGATCCTTTCCAGTTTCTTTGGGGCACAAATCTATAGTGGTATTGCTAGGTCAAAGGGTAAGCATAGCTCCAAATTGTTCTCCAGAACAGTTGGACCAATTTCCAGCTCTACTAACAGCTTATTAGTGTATCTATTTTTCCACATCACCTTCAGAATTTGTCATTTAAGTTTTCTGTCATCCTAGTCAATATGATGGGTGTGAATTGGTCTTGGCGTTGTCTGAATTTGTATCTCCCTAATTATTAGTGATTTAGAGCATTTTTTCATGTGGCTATTAATAGCATTAATTTCTTCTTTTGAAAACTGCCCACTCCCATCTTTTTACCACTTATCAATTGAGGAATGGTTCATATTTTTATAAAGTTGCCACAGTTCTTTATACATTTCAGAAAGAAGCCTTTATCAGAAAAACTTGCTATAAAAATCTCCCCTAATTTCCTGCTTTTTTACTAATTTTGGTTGTTCAACAGCCTCTTAGTCTATGTGTTTCTGCTCTGCCCTCCTCCCATCTAGTATTCACTTCCTTGTCAGATCAATTTTTCTGTAATATGAATCTGAAGATGTCACTAGGGCTCAAAATCCTTACTGTGTATTGAATATGAATCCTTTAACTCCTATTCTAACACTACTGTCACTATGCCGTTATTATATTGACGAAAAACACTATTTAAAGAAAAACACTATTTAAAGAAAATCTAATCTCAAAGACAAATCAATAATTAATGCAAATGTTTTGACTATACAAAGAGAGAAAATAATTAATAAATGAGATTTGAGATGCCAAAATGAAATACTGCTTGAGTATCTGGAAACTTTATGAATGAACCTCAGAGGCTTCTGGATGACACATGCATCAAATAGGAAAATATCCTGTCCTCATGGCAAAAAAATTCTGGATTTTGGTTTTTAAAAGATGACTAACAGTGTTTTTCTCCCAGGTAAAAGCAGAAAAAGAATAGAAGAACAGAAATTAAGACTTAATGATATAAGCTCTTTTGGAAATTCTGAGAACCCCAGATAGAAAGGAAAGGGAAAAAGGAAGTTCAGACCCCTTTTTTCAGAAGGATTTGAGGCAGCAGATAGATAATATCAATGCTTAAAAGGTGACCAGAGTCCCATTCAGATCTACCTCTACATAAAGCAGAGATTGGATGGATGGCAGAGAGAGGATGGAGGAGAGAGGAAAGCAGGGGTTTCTCTCAATTAAAGGACTAGAAAGATTTGAGCAGTGAAAGATGAAATCTGAAGAATATCCCTTGCCTATTTACAGTAGTAACCACAACAAGTGAGGACATGAACCCCTTTCTAATTCACTGAAATGGATATGTAAGGAGGCATCAAGGCATAATGGATAGAGAGCCAGCCCAGAAAACCTGTGCTCACATCCTCTCTATGAAATATACTGGCTGTATGACTGTGGTCATGTCTCCTCTGTGCCTCAGACAGTTGAGCAAATGATGATCTGCATGATAGACAGCTTCTTCAGTGGAGTTCCCCAAATCAATTAAATCACAGGCCTAGCTCCAAAATTGATACTCACAGGGTCATAATGTCTAAGACAGGGCCTTGAGGCAACAGGTTCCTGACCCCTGGACTAAGAATTCAGATATTATGAGAGTGATAGGGATAATTTTCTAATCTACTGAAAAAATTATATAGAATTATATATAACATATATTTTATATATATATATATATATATATATATATATATATATATATAAAACAAAGGCAGTGAAAAAATATTTGCATTAAAATGTGTATTAAAAATCCTCTAAAGTGTTAAGAGTAAAATATTACTTGCCTTTATTTTGTTATCTTCTACTGAAATTATCTGTGCACGCAGCCAAGCATCTTCCTCCGCATTTACAGCAACCAGCTGTCCAACATACACAGATTGTACTGACGTCACTTTAGGATTCTTACTATAATATTCTTTCATTTCATCCTCCATTAATTCTTGAGCAGCAGAGTAGTCTTTGCCTACATACCTGCATTAGTCATAGGGAAAAAGAGAAAATGAAATAATCCATAGGGGAATACATACAAACTGCTAATTTTACTGTACTTTCTCCAGGGCCTTTGTTGGTCCTCACTTCATTCCTTCCAGCAGTCACAACAAAAAATCCTAAGAAGATGGCATTGTCTTAATAAGGATTTATCTCAATGCAAACAAACTACCACACAGAACAAAAAGAAATCTTAAGAGTTGCAATTTCAGAGGACATTTGGTTCTTAGCCTACACCCAAATTATGAAACTTGTCTGCAATATCCCTATCTCTAATGGTCATTCAATTTCTTCCTTGGAGACTTCCCCAGTGATGAAGTCACTTTACTCCTGAAGCAGCCCCAAAATGTGCTTCCAATGCATCAGGCTATTAATTGGTTTAGAATTCATAACATACAAAGAATGACAGAGACAGAAAACATCTTCTGGCTAAACATTACTATTAGATTTGAACTACGGCTAATGGAGGTGATTTTTCATGTATGTAGTGAGAAGGAGCCTGGTGAAAATCTGGGGAATCCAGTACTATATGCAAGCAAGGTCAAAAGAAAGTTCATTTTGAAAAGTAATTCAATTTTTGCCAAGAGAAAATAGTCTGAAACACATAGAATTTAGCATTTAAAGCCCCTACTTAGTGATCCAGTATGAAAAATGACAACAAACTCTTGATTCAGAGATGATTTGTATTCTGATCAATCTCTGTAAAATGAAATTCCTGACATCAAGATCTGTTTTTTCATCGCCTCATTTAGATTGGTTCCTCTCAAATCTCACTATTTTCCCAGTTATGGTGGGAGGGTTACAGTTACCCTGCTGCATATATTTGCGTCACTAACACCTCTCATATTTTTCTGCCACGCATCATCTTTCTTGCAGCAACTACCAATGTCCTACATTGATGGAGGGAATAGTAACTTCTCTAGATCAAGTATACTGTGTAGAATTAACTGCCACTTCCTTCGTAGAACTTCCTTCCTTCTCCGTTTGTAGAATTTATCATCACCACCTTGTCCCAAACAAAAAGGCAGTAAGAATTAATTTAAATTCTATACCATGTGCCTTTCCCAGCCTAGCACATGCTATCTTGTGAGATCAGTAGATGGAGCACACGAGCTCGAAGAGGAGCAGGGTCTAATAGAAAGGACACTGGACTTGTACTTTAGTCTTGGTTCTGTCACTTACTAGTGACTTGGGTAAGTCACTTGTCCTAAGGTATGTTTATAGAGCAAGGCAAGCATTAATGCTTTAAGAGATTAGCTCACAGACCACTTGGAGTCACCATTTTCAGAAACTCTGCTTAAAGACTACCCCTCTTTCCAGCACTAAAGTGAAGATTCCTATAGACAACTACCTGAAATGGTACAGCAAAAACTATGGTATTGTTGGATTCATTAGGATCGAAGGTTTCATGGAACCTGGCATACCACCCTGGTCAAGTACTGCTACCACAGCCAAAAAGCTTTAGATACAAATTATACCATTCATACAAGAGAGAATTAGAAAGCAATACTTGCCTGATGACAACTTCATTTGTGTTGTTCAGTTCAACTACCAAAACTGACGGTGATGGCTCAGTTGGGATGATTAAAGGAGGAACGATTATTTCTTCTGTGGAAAAGTCAGGGTTTTCTTCTTCTTCTATCTGCAAATATTCTTGTTCAACCATGGATGTGATATCATCATTATTTATTTTTTGCTTTGCATTATTAATATTCCCACCAGTGCATTTTGGTAGTTTTGCATAAAGAATGGCCTTTTGAGGATTGTCAGAAATGTGGTCTACAGTGCATACATCCGATAGCAAGTCAAGATTTTTCAACGCATCCTCAGGAAACTTTAATTTGTATGTATCCTCAAATGTTTTGGGGAGTGCATTTGCCCAAAGACCACTTGAATATTTCACTAACAGCTCTGCAACTTTCTGCTTAAAGTCATCATTAATGGAAGCTGACCTAACTTCTGAGAATTCTTTTGAAAGAGATACTTGTTGTGGAGGTGGTGTCTGGGACTGAAGTGTCTTTTCATTGTCTGTTTCACTTTTTAAAAGCTGTCTTCTCTTAGCTGGATAAATAAGCACATCCTGTTGACCACCACTGTAAGGTTTTTCTACCTTTAAAAAATTAAAATAAAGCAAATAACATTTTCAATTATTATTAATAATCTGAATTTCATTTCATTTACATTTTTCAACTTATGCAAGAAAATGTAAAAGTTTTTTACATAATTATCCTTTGTTGCTACATGCCTCAGTTTCAGTGTCTTGTACAAGCCCTTTAGTCACCTGACTAGGCTATGAATCAATTATTTATTTTAAAGACTTAGATATTTCTAACCCTAAAAGGCCAGTATACCCATTTGACATAAGACAAATATGATGCATTTGGTACCACAACTTACCACCTTTCCAGCGTCACTTTACACATACTAATCCTCTTCATACCAGCCAAATTTTCCTTTAGAGGGAGCTAGGGTGCACAGTGTATAGAGTGTTGGGCCTGGAGTCAGGAAAAACTTGATTTCAAATCTGGTCTCAGCCACTTAATAACTGTGTCACCCTGGGCAAGTCACTTAACCTCTGTCTGCCTCAGTTTCCTCAACAGTAAAATGAAGAAAATAATAGCACCTATTATTGTTGTGAGGATCAAATGAAATAATATTTGTAAAGTGCTTAGCACACAGCCTGGCAGATAATAAGTGCTTAATAAATGCTCGTTTCCTTCCTTCACAGTAGGTGTTTAATAAATGCTCATTTTCTTCCATCTCTGGTTGTCTGTCACCCATACCTTGAATGCATGCTTTCCTTACCTCTGCCTCTTAAAATCCTGAGCTTCTTTAAAAACTCAGCTCAAAAGCTACCTTTTTCATGAAGTCTTTCCTGGCCCCCCTGGCTACCAGTGTCTTTCCCCAAAAAACTGCCTTACAGGTATTTTGCATATATTATTAATATACCTATGAGGAATGCTCTATCCACTGTACTACCTACCTGTTACTAACGGGCATATACTCCAATGAAGACAAAGACAGAAGTTCCATATTCATCAACATATTTGTAGCAGTACTTTCAGTAAAAGCAAAGAATTGGGGGGGGAAAGTGGATTCCCAATCAACTGGGCAAGAGCTGTACAATTTTTGGTACGTACATGCAATGGAATTGTTACATCAGCATAAGAAACTAAAAAATACATAGGAGTATGTATAAGACATGTATATTGATACAGAGTGAAAGAAGCAGAACTAAGAAAATATACCCAATGTAAATGCAAAGAACAAAAACCCAGCAGTATGCTTTGTAATGATGATGACCAAGTTTGGCCTCAAAGAAGAGAGCAGAGATGTGACATCCTCCCTCCTTTTACAAATGTGGGCACTGTGGGGGTGGAACACCACAAAACTGTCTGGCTCAGGTGATGTTGGTTAGTTTTGCTGACCTGTCTTTTCCCCCCTCTTTATAGTTCTTTGTTTATAGAGACTAGTTTTTTGGGTGGGGGAAAAGGGGGAAGAATTTGAAAATGAAGGTGATATGAAAAACAAAAGACAGCAATAAACTTAAAAAAAAAACCCTTTTACCCTAAATTATATCATGATTTTTTTTAACTTGGGATTTAAATTTCTCTATTTCTTTTAAAGTTCATCAGAACTCAATCTAAATCTTATAGTATCTATAGTATAGTAGAATCTCAGTTATTCAAAGATTAGCTTCCTAGCACCCTCAAGCATCCAGAATGAGTGAGGAAGTATAAGAAAATTGCCTTTGATGGTGAAATATACAGCTCCTATGCAACTGTGGACATTGGCTCTGTAATGATTATAACAACTTGTTAAATATGTTGGCACTTCCCTTCTCTACAGGGGAATATACTACAACCAGCCAATCAGGATTTCTGAAGCCCAGGGTGGCTGTTTGACATGCCGGTAATCCTTTGTAAGTGAACTCTAGATGAACTTGGAGATGCCTGCCAAGGTCAGATCAGCTTTGAACCACTTAAGGGCAGCCTAGAGCAGCAGCTGCAGACTCGGGACTTTCCAAACACCTTACTCCCTGGCTTATTGTACCTACAGATGTCTTCTCCCTTAATTCCCTGCTCCCCACCCAAAAGCCTCTAGAAACTATATTCTCTCACCCTTTTCCCACTCCCCTCTGAACAGCTGAGAACTCTTTTCGTCTCTCTGTTCCCTTGTGAGTTTTCTTTTGCAAGCTCTTCTTGGACAATAAACGCTTTTGTAATCTGGAATCAGACTCTTTCATTTAGTTTTTCTTTTTGGGCCTACGGTATTCCTTTAACACAATCAACAACAGAACATTACAAGACAACCTCCAAATCTCAAAGATTATGCTGGCATTGATTGGGTTTTCAGGTAAAAGGCCTATTCAAATTAGCTGGTGATGACTCTTTGTTTTTTTTTTTTAATATGAGGCAATTGGAGTTAAGTGACTTGCCCAGAGTCACACAGCTAGTGAGTGTTATGTGTCTGAGGCCAGATTTGAACTCAGGTCCTCCTGACTCCAGGGCTGGCATTCTATCCACTGTACCACCTAGCTGCCCTAGCTAGTGATGACTCTTAAAAAATATGCCAGCCTTTCTGTACTAAAACCGAGAAACAGAGAAGTACTAGGTGACCAAAGAGACAAGAAAACAAAATGGCGGCCAAAAGAAAGCAAATATAAAAAGTAGTGGCAGTGATTAGAAAGGGTTGATGGGAGATCAGAAATGGCAAGAGGAACAGTGAAACAATTATACTGGGCTGTTTAGATTCTTTCTTCTTTGATAACCACCCAAGATGCATTGCCTGAGTTTGTCTAGACCTTAAATAACATTTTCTGAATAGAAAATATGTGTATATGTGTGTGTGTGTATATGTCTACGTACACACACATATTTAATTTTCTAGGAAAAGTGTTTTACTCTGTTTATGGGTTCATAATTTTTGCTATTTTACTGCTAAAACATGTGAAGCCTTTGCAGTCAATTTTTATGGCTTTTATTAGGCAACTTCCAGGATCAAGCTTATCTGTGGCACCCACAAGATGGTACTCTCAGTCTGGTGACACTGAGTTGAGAGTCCACTCCATTGGAGACTCAGTCTGTGATATAGTAGGAAAAGTGCTGGAGATGGAGTCAGAGGACCTTGGTTCCCATCCCAGCTCTACTACTTGTGACTTTACCTCTCTTGGTCTCAGAGCTAGACTTTATTAGAGGCAGCTTTCAGCTGTAAATCTATGATCTCAGATATCTCAGATGCTCCTGAAACCTGGAAAAAAGGCAATCTTTAGCTTTTAGGTGAATGTAGTCAATTAGCAAGATGAGAGTAGAATCCTGACCAATTAGACATCTCCAGAAGACTTATACAGTTTGGTTATAGTAATCACTGACACAGATTATTCTCTTAAGACATTAGATCTAAGTAATCTTGGCACATAGTTGATCCTAAAATGTCTGTTGAATTGAAATGATTCTATTCTGTTGTGCTGGGATCTTGAAGAACATCAGAGACACCCACTTCTATTAAAGCAACTAAATATTAACAGGTGACTTTTAAAAACACTTGTATTCTAGTTATTTTGGCATATTTTTCTCCTCTACTATAGGCTTTGAAGGTAAGGACCACGTCCTGGTCATTTTTATGTCCTTTGTATTACCACACACATTCATGAGTAGACACACAATTAATATATGTTGAACTATGAAAGTAAGCTTTTGTGATCGAAGTAATTCAGGATATAATGAAGAGTCAAACACTGGAACACTGTGCTTTGCTAGGTGCTAAGTGAGATAGAAAGTTTAGCAAAAACAGTCTTTGTCTTTATGTTTGTAAAGAGATAAGGAACACATAAATAGATATAATATATACTAAGTGCATTATGAGTTCAAAAATGAATGTTATATTGAGCCTAAGGGGGAAAGTCATGGTGAAGGGATGTGGAATCAACTAAGGTTTCAGGAAGACATAGCATTTAAATTTTCTTTAAAGTATGGATAAGAATTCAAAAGCTAAAGAGAGGGCATTGCAGGGATAATGGACAAGGAAAAGTATAAGCAAAGGAATGGAGAAAACAAATTGTAGCAAACATCAGGTGAGGGACAAAAGTCTACTGTAAGTACTACAGAATATAAGGAAAGAATTAACATGAGATAAGGTTAGAATGGTATAGTAATTGCAGATTGCAGAGTGCTTCGAATGTCCGCCACATGTATGAACATTAACTCAGTAGAAAGACCTTTATGGGTGTATCCACACTAAAAAGCTGGGAAGAGGATGAAGAACAAGTGGAAAAAAAGAATAGTTTGAGAAGTTAGAAGAAAACCAAGAAAATATGGTAAATACATGAAATGAAACAACAAAAAAAAGAGTAGCCAATAGGAAGGACCAACTATGATTAACAACAACAACAAAAAAGCCACAGCATTTAGGAATTAGGAGAGCACTTTGAAAAGACAGTATCAGAAGAGTGACAGAGAGCAGACTACAAGGGATTGAATGATTATTGTTCACATTTATATAGTTTTGCAAAGTATTTCATATACACATTATCATATTTAATCTTTGAGGCTCAAAGGAATTAAGTGATTTGCTCAAAATCACATTGCTGGTGTCAAACACAGAGTTCAAATCTAGGTCTCCCCAAATTCCAAGTCTAGCACTCTATCCACTAGGAGAGCATAGACAACTTTTTTTTCCCAATAAGTTTATCAGTGAAGGAAAAGGGAGTGACGGGAAGCCAGTTATTTGGCAAAGAAGGTTCAAAAGAAGGAATTTTTTTTTTAAGTACTGGGAAGACTAAGACTATTTTGTATACAGGTAGATGAGAAGCCTGACTGAAAATGCTTCCAGAAGAGCCAAGAGGGGAATCGGGCTCAAGAAGCAGACTTAGGAGAAGGGATGTAGCTTGCCTAGGGCACAAGCAAAGGAAAATATGTAATTGTGTTGAGAAGTTATAAGAAATGGAAGCAAGCAACTGAAGAAGTTTATATTAGATACCCTTCATTTTAATCAAAGAGGTGGGAAGCTAGGTCATTTGCTACAGATGTGAGAACAGCTGATTTGGTGTCCCATGAATTTGCAACAGGTGAAAATCAGCTGAATTTTGACACTTTTTCCACTGCAACTGGA